TGTATAGACGAAGATCTACAAAACACTGATAAAACTAAAATAACTTAAAATTAATAGATACATTATATACATATGTTGAAAGTCACTTTAGTCATTTTGGTCCATATATGCTTTGCATAAAAAACAAAATAGCTGGGCACCAGTGGCTCACTCCTAGCTACTCAGGAGACTGAGATCTAAGGATTGCCATTCAAAGCCAGCCCAGGCAGGAAAGTCTGTGAGACTCTTATCTCCAATTAACCACCAAAAAAACGGAAATGGTGTGGTGGCTCAAGTGGTAGAGCACTCACCTTGAGCTGAAGAGCTCAGGGGCAGCGTCCAGGCCCAGAATTCAAGCCCCATGACCAACTCGCCCCCACCTCCCCCCAAAAAAGAAAACCAAAATAACATCAGGTCTTTTTTGTAGGTATTTGAGACTACAAGGCAACAGTAATTGAAAATATATTCCTGAATATAGCTAGCATTAAGTCACAGTATTTAGAAACTAGTTTAGTAAATGCTTAAAATGCAAATGAATCATCCAATTATCCATTTATTCAAATGAATAATCCAAGTATTACAATGGATTTAACTGTAAATCTATAGTAGAAGCATGGCCTACAGCAGAATTCTAATTTCTGGTTCTACACATAAAGAACAGTAGCTTTCTAGGCCAATTGCTGGTGGCTCATGCTTGTAATCCTCACTACTTAGGAGTACAAGATAGTCATGTCTCAAGACCAGCTTAGGCAAATCATAAGACCACTCCTTAAGCAACAGCACTGTCACATAAATCTGTCACTTCAGCTACATGAAAGCTGAAAGCAACAGGATCTCAGTTCCAGGCCAGCCAGGGGGGAAATGTTCCATGAAACCCCATTACAAGCGCCCAGCTACAAGAAGCATAAAATAGGTTGCTTGTAGTCCAGGCACAAGCCAAAGCAAAAAGTGAGACCTTTATCTCAAAAATAACCAGTGTGCCAGGTGATGATGGCTTACACTTACAATCCAAACTACTAAAAAGACTGAGAATGAGAACTGCAGATATTGTAGCCCAGGCATACAAATCCATGAGACTCTTATCTCCAATTAACCTGCCAAAATCAGGAAGTTAAGACATAGTTCAAGTATTAGAGTATGGGCTGTGAGGTGAAAAAGCTGAGAAAGAACAAGAAACCTGGAGTTCAAGCCTCATTACCAGCATAAAAATAATAACCAGGGTGCATAAAAAGCTGAAGCTATAGCTTAGCAGTACCGTGCCTGCCTAGCAAGCTCAAGACCCTGAGTTCAAACCCCAGGATTGAAAGGAGAAAAAAAAAGTATCTAACCCATTTCAGACCACCACATCATAGTTAGATCATAGTCAGCCCTTCAGCCAGGTCACCCATCAGAATATAAGCCTCAGAAAGACAGGATTTGGCACAGGTTTCTGAAAATATGCAATCCAGTTGATCAAACTGACCTAGTTTTAAGGCAGAAATGAATTGGATTCTGCACAATAAGCTAGACTGGAAGAATTATGCAAAGAAAAGAGAGCAACAGAAAAGAGAAATCAATATAACAGCACAAACATAGCTACTCTTATAACCGATTAAAATATGAGGGAAAATTTCAACAAAATGCTTACTATTTAAGGGATATAAACAGGAACATAAGACACTCTAAACAGTTAGCTAAAAATGGGGAGAGAATTTGGAGAAAGCCACAAGACAAACATGTCAACAAATGTGTAAGAGATAGAGATTAACCTGTAGTTATTAGTAGTCATAAGGCCCAAAGTCTAGCTTTCAAATAAGAAAATGGAAATGTGATATTTGCAAATGATAAAAATATAAAGTATGAAAAAAATGAAAAATTTTAATACACGATTTAGGTGAGGTAAGCATGGATAAGAATGGTTTGTGGAATTTTCTGTTGAAAGTTTGCAATTTTAATGCATGTACTTTATTTAATACAATTAGGTTTTTATTGTTCTATGACAGATAATGAATCATCAATGTTGTTGACTTTCCACTACTCTAGCTATTCCCTATTTGATGGAGATTTAAGCAGATGGCACACTTCTATTTTCCTGGTAAAACATTTGTTGTGAAAGAAATTCAAAATTAAGAAGCCAAATGAAATTTCTGAATTGGTTTTAACCCTAAATAATCCTTTCTTCCCAGAGTTCAAATATACCAAAGAGTTCATAATTAAATATGCCACATATTCATTTAAAATTCACCCTTTATGAAGCAATATGGCTTAAGAAATCATTTTAATCAATTAGAAACTGCTTTTGCATATATAGTTTTCAAAGAGTTTCAATTATAGTTAACTCCAACATTTCACAAAGTTGAGGGTTTTTTAGTTACAAACTCATAGAATCATAAAGAAAAATGAAGCATCAGAACTACTTGCAAGCTTACGCATGCATCTAATGTAAATATAAATCATTCTCATAGGTATTGTTACACAAATTTAGAAGACAAATGTCTAAAATAAAAGAATTCATATCAGAAAATAAGATATAAAATACAAAAATAACTAAAGAGAAAAACATAACTTTTAAGAAATGAACTAAGCTATGTTTTAGGATCAAACACATCTGTTGCTTAGTTAATGGAAAAACTAACTTGTTTTCCTAGGATTTTAAGTTAGTAAAAAATTAACCTATAAAATTATTTCATAACAAAATTTGGTTTTAAATCACATATTGTAGCATTTGAAAAATTAGTATCTTATATGAACATAAAATACATTAAATGCCAAAATGTAGAAACTGTGGGTTACTATGGAAACAAGGATCTATAACCTAAATGTACAATTTTTTCCATGAAAATAATATAATATGATTTTTGATCCAGTGATTCATATATTGGCATATTTGTTAAAAACAGAGGGCATTAGAAACATCTCATAAAAATTTGAGTAACATTTAAGCATCAAATTTGTGGTTTTTTAAAAAAAGTGAAATTACACTATGCTTTATAGTCAATTAAAAAAAAACCCTGTTATTTGTGATAGCTTTGGTAACATGAGCCATAAGTCACCTGTACAGGATATAAGCAGCAATGTCCAGCCTTCAGCTTTCTTCACTCAAATTTCTAGAACTCACATTTTGATGTGTCAAAATTATCAAACTATAATTTGGAAATGCTGCTTCAAAGAGGTAATTAAAACAGTGAAATATACTTCAACAAAAAGAATAAAAGCTATACCATCACTTAAAGAAAACTTGAATTACCAAAAGTTATATAGGCAAATCGGGAGTAAACTTATATTATCCCTTTCTCAGCTCAAGTACTATCACAATTTCTCTTAGAAAAAGGTACAACTCCCAGAAGGGTAGTCAGCAGTATTCTAACACTGTCTGCTGATAACCTACCTATGCTTTTTCAGGTCAACAGATTTCTACAGTGCCTTATGTGTTTGTTTGTTTGTATATAGATACATTTTGACCAAAAAAAACCCTGAATAAATACTTGAACTCTCTAGGAGGAAAGCACTATATATTCTTATAATAATAATAATTTTCTTATCCCCATCACATGCCAACATGTTTTCTCTGGTTTCAGTTTGAAATTAAAAATAACATTTTGTATGTATTAGCTATTGTTAATGTAGCTGGCATTCTATCAAGATCTTTTCCCCTAATTTTCAAAATTCTTGAATAATAAATGGCACATTTTCCTTCTTAGTATTATCAAAGCCTTGACACCCAAAACTAATTCAGAAATTTCTAGAAATTCACAACAAAAATTTTCATGTTACCCTAAATTTTTATAGAAATGCACTCAAAACTCAAGTACTTGTCAGAAATTTCTCTATAAAGAAAAACATTTTGAAAAATATAGATCAGATTCCTAAATTTAAATTATTAACTTTAGGAATATGATCTATATAGATGACTAATGTTCTAATAATTCAATCATCAGTAATGTCTTCAATTTTATAAGTACAGAATCCAGCCACTTGACATACTTAAGTCTAAAAAAATATTTATCCTTGCTACTGAAAACAAACAAATTTAGAGGTAACCAAAAATGAATATAACTTAATTTTTAATACATATGTTCAGTTTTTATACCATTGGGTTTTTTGGCAGTCTATCTGAAAATAATTTAGCTTTTTAATTTATGAAGACATAAACTACAAGTTACAAGTAACTTTTCCTTCACTACATTAGCATCTAGCAACATCTATTTGACAAAGGCAATCTACCAAGAAATGTGACCAAGCCACAAACAGAAATACCCAATTGAAATAAAATACTAATGACAAATGGCCAGTATATATTTGCTAAATGAGAAGCTTCCTATTGGTAAAAATTAAGATTACTGTTTCCAAAAGGTAAAACAAAATATTAACTTTTAGTATGCTACTGTTAGTATGCTACTGGGCAAGGAAATGTTTTAAAAATATTTTATGGTAAAATTACCTTGGATCAAGCTGATTAATATTCTGAATGAATGAATGAAATAAAAGAATATCTCAATGAATTTAATACCTAGAGATATTCACAAGCATTTGGAATACATGATGATGACTTGAATACAAACAAACTAGTTGAAATTCAGTGTGGTTCACTGTAAAAATGCAGTGGGTTTCTATTTGTAGAACAAAGAAACTACACCAAAATTATATATAAATAGTAAAATATTCTCAAGTGCAATTAATTAGCCTTTAGTATATACATATATACTTTTGACTATATAAACCTTTCCTACCACCTTCCCCCTACACACAATAAGAAAACATCTCCATGCATTTTTTAACATTTGGCATGAGTGACCAAGAATCCAGAACAAAATACACATGTTTTAAAAAAAACTAATTTACTCATATTCTATTTAAGCATAACATACAAGCACTTATAAATTTAGTCTTTTAAGAAAGCACTCTTATATAAAACAGTAGGGTGGGAGGGAATCTCTGCTATACATATGAAGCACAGTTTAAGCCCAATACAACTGACCAATCAAAATTAGTGAATGCACTGCATCTCTCTGCAGTGGAGAGAAGCGACAAGGTAGGCTGTCATACTGCAAAAGCTGCTCAGAACAGGCTTTCCTCTGAAAACAGTGCCGTTCCTTTTTAAAGACTGAATCTAAATGTCTCTGGAGAGAAGAAACATTCTGCATTTTCAGATGCTTACTGATTGTGAGGAACCGCAGCAGCTTCAAAGCAGCACTACACGGTCTATACATCAGCAGTACTGCTGAAACAATGGCACCATACAGACACGTTTTCATTAAGGTCATTTCTGAAGAGACGTTTATAACCCTCTTCCCCTCATCCTCTACTAACAAGCAAACAAAATGAATCAATCAAAACGGGAAATGCTTCAACTACATCAAGAATTTATCATATCTTTAGCAGAGGTAAGATATGTTCCTTATTATAGTATACAGTAGCTTTTAAACTATCACAGTAGGGTGAAATTACTTTTAAAATTTCAGCCTAAATTTTAAGAGTTTAATGTTTAGTTCTACTTATTGCTAAGCATGTAATTTTTAAATCTATTTCTCTGAAGACAAGATATATTTTAATGTAAAATGTTTCGAATGGGTTAAGAATATTTTATTAATTCACCATGAAGACATCAGCTCTCAAGTCACTTCAGACAGATTTTTGATTCCTAATGTTATCTGTATAGTTTTTCTTAGTGTCCAAAAATGCTAATATTTCATATAAGAACCAGTTTTGGTATCAATCTGTTATCTATTACTCAATTTTATGCTAGAATTATTAGCATGCTTATTCACTGAAAAAAATATAGTTACTTTTTGTATTGCCTTTTGCTTCAACCACATGAGCAATTCATCAATAAAAATTCATTGTATCTTCTCATGAAATCTGTTTTAATGTGTTAAGATTCAGCCGATGTTTTAATAATTAAGCAAGCTACAGTGTTTTTATAGTAGGAAACATTCAGTTTATTAAAAGAGGGAATAAGAGTGTGTTTAGTAGATGCTAATTGTTTATAATCTTGTAAAATACAAGTTAGCTTCTTAAAAGACAGCAGAAATTAGTTTATAAATACAGTCTTTCTCTTGTGGCTATATTTACAATGCTAACTCTATTGTTAAAGTAATCTATACAATCTCTGTTAGGAAAATGAGATACTTTAGGATTTAAATTTTATGCACATAGTTATGATTCTAGCAATAGTACTGCTTATTTTAAGAACAAATGGTGCATGGTTTTAATTTATCAGAATAACTTTCAATTAATTAGAAATTATTAGGAATCTTGTTTCTTAACCTTTCTTTTTCTTTTGTTCATAGGACCTAAAGCAGCTAATTCAGTATTTACAACTTACAATATGAAGAATGCATCTGATTGAGTTTCCCTAGCTCTGTGAGCTACGAACTGCAAGATGCACTTATAAATATGATTTTAAGAAACTGAAGAGTTAAAACCAAGGAATCAATCTACAATACTGCTGGAATATTAAAAAATTAACAGTACCCTAAGAAGATGCTGAATACAATAATCACAAAAAGAAAATATAACTGTAAAAGGCTGAAACAAAATGGTGAGCATTTTTAAAGGAGGAGTTTACACTTGAACACATGAGAATTATGGAAGCTACTAATGTTGAAGAAACAATGAAACACGAATTCCAAAAAGGAGAATGTACCAACGAGCAAAACAAAGCTTTAGCAAGTGTTTTCTGCACTAAATATTCAGGATATTCATATCAATTGATATGACTAATGGATTTTCCATCTGAGTTTTATGACCAATTATGTGTCCTCTTCTAATGAAAACAAACCAAATTAAATAGCAGATGGTTTCTATCAAGAGAGCATGGACTGGATTTATAATGTAAAGCAAGTTATGTGATCAAGAAATCATTTCCCAATAATGAGGACTGCTGTACAAACAGATTTACAGTTATAACAAAAGGATGTCTAAATACATTTTGGAAGCTAGAAACCTTATGCTTCTCTTTTTCAGACACTATCTTAAAGAGACTCTATCATACATTTCCTCAAAGAAAAACACAATTCCTATCATTTGAGGAAGTTTCTCTTGGTCGTGACTTTTTAAGGTAAATCAAACACAAATATTATGTACTGTTCTTTAGCAATCCATCAGCCAACTAATCTCACAATTCATGCAGTTGAAGTATTGGAGAGAAAAATGAAAGAATTCCTACAAGACATGAGATAGAATACAGCTACTTCACTGTTCTCAGTGAACAATTCATGTCAAAATCTGTCAATGACATCATGTATCAATTCGTGAAAAACTGCCTGCCGTAGTGAGCTAAATCGCCCATAAGGTGACAGCAAACAGGTAGGTCAGAAGATGCATGCACCCCACTGCACTGCACCGTGTTAACATTTACCAGAAAGGGAGGGGGCTCATACTTTCCGTAATTGTCATTTCACTTGACATGACTGGTTTATTTAACTACACTCTGGTGTGACAAAGAACTGATGTTTAATATACCAACTCTGAAAATTTGGCATGCTTAAAATTTTCCATTTTTATAAGATTTCAGAGTAAGCTAAAACTTTTACCTATTTTGAATAAATATGCTTCTATTAATACTTAAATAACCCAAAAATATCATTTGTGTTTGAGATAGTATTTCCAAAATAATATGCAGAAATAAAATTATGTTCTAAACCTTGTCAAAGATAACATCAAGTGAATGGTTAACATAAATTTTGAAAATTATTAGCTTGTATAGTTTGAATTTTATAGTCAAAATGCTGTACTTGAAATGTAAAAGTTTGCTAGTGATTTTTTATATTGTAAACTGAATATACTGATTCACACAAATAACTTTAAACCTCTGCATATTAAAATATAATTTTTATGAATTAGTAAAAAAAGGTTTATTTTTAAATTTTTCCTCAAAAGTATATATGGCTGATGTACACAAAAGGTTTCACAGGTAAAAGCTTCCTTAAAATATGGGCTTCAGAATACTTCTACCTGAATTATAGCTTGTTTTAAAAAAAAAATCTTAAAAAATATTCTGACTGTAATCCTTCTGTACAGCATCTTTACAATAAAATAAAATAAAAAACCTCTGATTAAACAAATAAAGTCAACTAGTATGTTTTGAACCACTTCAAAAATGCCTATTTCTTAGTATGTCTTAAACTGCAACTTTCTTCTTCCAGAAGATAGAAGAGGGTGTGGTCGCAAAATAAATAATTTATAGGCATTATTAGTGATGTAAAAAGAAAAAAAAAGCCTTGTAACTTTCACTTTGGCTTAATATCCCTTTTCTTTCCATTTTTATGTTTGCCAATTGTAAAGATCAAGTGAGCATATTCACTGTGATATACAAAAAAATTATCATTTCCTTCTTTCTGTGGGGAATAACTCTAAATATTCCTAAGCACAATGCTAAATTCTAAGAGATTCCATCAACATGCACAAGGTAGTTTGAAACAAACTAGCACTTGGTATATTTATCCTTTTAAATGAACACTTGCCCTGTTCAGCTGAAATCTCACCAGAATAATTACACCTACACTAATCATGCTAGAGCTTATTAAAATATCATTTACTTTATATCTACTCACAACATTATAAAATGAAATTTTAAGTCATCAGATTAAAATTAGTGTTGCATACTCAATAGTTTTATTATACAAAAGTACTTTTTCTCTAAAAAAAATTTAAAAAATCACATTTCCAAATGAGGCAAACCTCTTTAGTATCTTAAGCAATTTTGCATTCTAGGGGACCAATCCCTAAATAGTTATTTTTTTCAAAAGATCATTTCCTCTTACAGTAAAACAAATGTAATCTTGATGTTTTATCTCCACATTTCCCACTTACACTTTACAAACTTAAAAAATAAAGGTGTACAATAAAAAGATGGTTTGTTTACATGTTTTATTCATCATTTAAATTGCCAAAATCAAATAGTTTATTCTATTTCACTTTCTAGGCAAAAAAAAAACAAAAACAAAACAAAACAACTGCTCCAAAAGAATGTGTCTCTCTCCTGTTCTGGAAATCAACATGCAGTCTGATTCTAACATTACAGTGCGAGATGACATTGATGACATCAACACCAATATGTACCAACCACTATCATATCCATTAAGCTTTCAAGTGTCTCTCACTGGATTTCTTATGTTAGAAATTGTGTTGGGACTTGGCAGCAACCTCACCGTATTGGTACTTTACTGCATGAAATCCAACTTAATCAACTCTGTCAGTAATATTATTACAATGAATCTTCATGTACTTGATGTAATTATTTGTGTGGGATGTATTCCTCTAACTATAGTTATCCTTCTGCTTTCACTGGAGAGTAACACTGCTCTCATCTGCTGTTTCCATGAGGCTTGTGTTTCCTTTGCAAGTGTCTCAACAGCAATCAACGTTTTTGCGATCACATTAGACAGATATGACATCTCTGTAAAACCTGCAAACCGAATTCTGACAATGGGCAGAGCTGTAATGTTAATGATATCTATTTGGATTTTTTCTTTTTTCTCCTTCCTGATTCCTTTTATTGAGGTAAATTTTTTCAGTCTCCAAAGTGGAAATATATGGGAAAACAAGACTCTTCTGTGTGTCAGTACAAATGAATACTACACTGAACTGGGAATGTATTATCACCTTCTAGTACAGATCCCAATATTCTTTTTCACAGTTGTGGTAATGTTAATCACATATACCAAGATACTTCAAGCTCTTAATATTCGAATAGGTACAAGATTTTCGACAGGGCAGAAAAAGAAAGCAAGAAAGAAAAAGACAATTTCCCTAACCACCCAACATGAGACTACAGACATGTCACAAAGCAGTGGTGGGAGAAACGTAGTCTTTGGTGTAAGAACTTCAGTTTCTGTAATAATTGCTCTCCGGCGAGCCATGAAGCGACACCGTGAACGAAGAGAAAGGCAGAAAAGAGTCTTCAAAATGTCTTTACTGATTATTTCTACATTTCTTCTCTGTTGGACACCAATTTCTGTTTTAAATACTACAATTTTATGTATAGGCCCAAGTGACCTTTTAGTAAAATTAAGATTGTGTTTTCTAGTCATGGCTTATGGAACAACTATATTTCACCCTCTACTATATGCTTTCACTAGGCAAAAATTTCAAAAGGTCTTAAAAAGTAAAATGAAAAAACGAGTTGTTTCCATAGTTGAAGCTGATCCCATGCCTAACAATGCTGTAATACACAATTCCTGGATAGATCCTAAACGAAACAAAAAAATTACCTATGAAGATAGTGAAATAAGAGAGAAATGTTTGGTACCTCAGGTTGTTACAGACTAAGGAAAAATCTAAGTTTCACCAAATCTATATTGTGAAAAGTTTAAAATTTAAATTGTAAAAAATGGAATTACTGCCAAATATAAGGATACATTTTAAGTATTGGTTATGTTGTAAATTTTTAATGTGAATGTCGATATTAGGTCATATATATTCAATTTCTTCATTACTTAATGTATTTGTTGCATGGCAGTTTGTTAAAGTATATCATGTGTATATTTTGTCATGATTATGTCCATCACAAAATATTCATGTAAGTCATATTTTCTAAAGAATAAATACATAGCCTTAAAGCAGTGTATAATTTTAAAATATAATGGACACAGGTATCTGCTTTTTAAAAAGATATAATGTGTATTGTTTGTAATCCACAACTACAGATATATTTATATGACAGCTAGAGTAACATTTAACATGAAAAACAAAGTTACAGGCTCAAAACAGTCAAAGTAATCCAAGGGTCTTTTTTATCACTATATTTCCTAATATAATATACTCACTATATTATTTGAAGCATCAAAAATAATGAACTGTGTATAAAATTTCATTCTCTCTTTTGAATGTAGAAAATCCTAAGATACATATTAGTATTTTAAAATTTTTGAACCAAAAATAATCCTGTATATGTATACCAAAATAGGGAACGTTTAAAATTCATGTTTACTATGAAAAAAAAGATTGATTTTTTTTCTAAGATGGAAGATACTATACTTATAAAAATAAACTGAAAAGTAAAGAGTTGGAAGAAAACTATAGCAACAATGGTTTTCTTCCTTCCCTGTCTGCCTACTCTAAGCCAAATGTTATAGGTTAGTACAGAATGTTGACAAAAGAAAAGTACATTAAAATAAAGTGATTTTTAACTTAAACTCAGCCATTTTTTATAATGGAAGTTAACTATACCAACCCCTAAACTAGGAAGAGGATAAAAAACTTTTCTATCATTGTAGGAAAAAACAAGCAAAGCCAACTATTTCTAATCTTGGATACATAACAACTTTAGAGTAATACAATTTACACAATGTCCCCACACAATCTTTAAAGTATGGTAGCTTTGTTGCCACTATGAAAATCATTAAAGTAACTATGAATCTTGCTACTTTTTCTATTCACACATGTAATAATTTTAAATACTTTTCTCTCCACTCCTCAATTCATGTCAGAAAATTATGAAATTACCAATTGTAACTACAGATTATAAGCATTGGGAATTTCTTCTCAAACACTTCTCAATTCCATAGTATAATAAACTGGCAATATGTGCTAATACCATCAGAAAGTAATATGTTATTTGAACCAAGATAGTTCTGGCTACATTGTAACTGATTAGTTGGACAAAAAATAACAACACTGTATTCACTAAATCAAGTAATAGCTCATTTTTTAAATAAAAATGATCTTGCCAAACAATTCAATAATGTATCACTTTTATACAAATAAATGAGATTCAAATAACCTAGTTTACTAAACAACCTAGCACCCTGGGAAAATGACCACCATGCAATAGCTTAAATTTATTGAGGCTACTGGCATATTAAATAGGGTTTTATAACTTATAATAATGCTAGCATACTGTCAAATCTTGATGAAGACCCATTTCTTGTCTTTTTAATCTACTTTTTTATGTATCTAAAGAAATATTTCAATTTGACAAAATGTAGCTTAAGAAAGTAAAAAGGTTTTTTTTTGAAACAAGATAGAGGAATTATTAATTCATAGATAAAAGTATTAAGAAACTTTTCATTGAATAAATATATCTGGCATGGAATATCTAATATCTTTACACTGTAGAATTCATTTTATGTGGACTCCAAAGGATCAATTAAAATTTCTTTCTGTATTAAATATTTTTAATCTTTAGGTTTATAGGCATGCCAAAGAAATCAGGATAAAAACAGATTTTTAATAGATTTGCCTGGTGTTTTTCATGTACTTTCATCGTCTATAATAAGAAATAAAATTTTAAAAATATCACTGGCAAATATTATAACTCTGCCCTATTGCCCATTTGACACTGAGTGAACAAGTAAACAATTTACTCATAATCATCTTTCAGGCAAGCAAAATTATACCTACTGATTTACAACAAAGAAAATGCATACCTACCAGAAACTTTTAATAGTCGTGTGGGGGTGGGGGGGATGGGGGTGGGTGGGGGTGTGCGTGCGCGTGTGCACGAGTGCGTGTGCACTGGTCCTGAGGCTTGAACTCAGGGACTGGGCACTGTCCCTTAGCTTTTTTGCTCAAGGCTAGCATTTTACCACTGGAGCCACTGCTCAACTTCTGGCTTTCTTGGTGGTTAAGTGGAGACAAGAGACTCACAGATTTTTCTGCCCAGGTTAGTTTCAAACCTCAATCCTCAGATCTCAACCTCCTGAGTAGCTACAATTGCAGGTGCAAGCTACCAATGCCCAGCTCTAATAGCTTATTAATTAAAACTAAAATATTCCTGTGTTAAAAATTTAGTTTTCATTTTAACAAGTCACAAATGACTGCAACTATTTCCCTCTGACTAAATAAGATAACTTGTTTAAAAAAATTAAATTTCATACTAAGGAGCCACCCTCAGGATTGTTTTTTTATACAATATTCACTTTATTACTAATAATTTTGCAAAAAAGCATCCATGCTCATTTATCCAGGGATATAGCACAGAGAACATGCTTGCCTAGTATGCACAAGATCCCAGTGCCACCAATACAAAGGTAACAGAAAACTTGATACAGAATATTCCTTACAACAGCATTTTTATTTCTGTGTCAATGGAGTCAATTCATAGGAATTTAGTAATGTGTTAGTGGCTCATACTTGTAATCCTAAATGCTAAGTAGAAGTTGGGATGATCATAGTTTGAGGCTAGCCAGGTAAAAAGTTCTCAACATCCCTTCCTGACCAGCAACTGGGTATGCTGTTATGTACCTGTCATCCCAGATTCAACAGGAAGCCTAAAATGGGAGAATCATGATCACAGTACAAGCACATACCCAAGCAGGAAGTAAGACCCTATCCAAAAAATAATTAGCACAAAAGAGCTGGAAGTATAGTTCAGCAGTAGCCTAGAAAGCACAAGGCTTTGAGTTCAAACCTACCACACACACACACACACACACACACACGCACGCATGCACGCACGCACACACACACGCGTGCGCACGCTCCTAACCAAATATAAGCTCCATAAAGTATGAAAATGCATACAAGCTTTTTTGTTTTGTTTGCTGTATAAGTAGGCTATTATTCTACTAAAAAGATGCTCAAATCTATTACAAAGATTAAAGTTATTACAATTATACATTTTAAAAGTGCAATTTATGAAAGTGGTTCAAAGTGGAAATGCACTAGCCTTGAGCAAAAAAGCTCAGGAACAGTGTCCAGGCCCTGAGTTCAAGCCTCATAACAAACCAAAAGAATAAAAAATTTTTAAAAACATTCACTATAATTTTGTACTTCAAAATCATAGTAATTTAGTTTTTAGTTATGTGGTATATTTTTTAATCTCTTCTATAAAATTACAACAAAATCTCAATTATCTACATGTTCAAATCAGGCTTTTTATTTACCTGAGGTTAGACTCAAGGGTGAAAATCTAAAATCATAACAGGCTACTAGTAGAACTTTATTATATATAATAATTTCAAGATTACTTTCCAGTCAATCAAATTGCTAGGTTTATTTACTTATTTATTTACATGTTTACTGACCTAGAACTTCTCAGCTTACTTGCTTGGCTTACATGCTACCTACCATTGGAGCCATGTCTCCAGACCTACTTTTTGTGGTTGTTTTAGCAATGAAGCCTCAAGGACACTGATGTCCAAACTGTCCTCTCAGCCTCTTGAGACTCTGGTGCCTGGCTTATTTTATTATATTTTATGATCATATAAATTAAGTAAATTTTGTAATTCAATTTATATTTGAAATCTACACTATGCAAGATATGATGTCAGAGATCTGAATTAGAGAAATAGGATTATGACCCTCAAGAGAGTAAAACCTAAAAGCAAGGTATATCTCAATTATTCCCTAACCAAAATGCTTAGAAACAAGTTGTTTTCAAAGTTTGATATATTTGTTTATACTTAATGATATATTTTGTAGATAATACCCAAGTCTACATATACAATTTATTTATATTTCATACAAACCTTATACATATAGCTTAGAGGTAATTTTTTACAGTATTTTTAATTTACCTGCATTTCAACTAAAACCCATCAGTGCCAAATTTTCTCCTATGGTAACATGTCAGTACTAAAAATGTTAGAGATTTTGGTACATTTGGGGTTTAGGGATGCCAATGCTATCTTAAAAAGCATGAAAAATACATAAAGGAAGAGGCAGAATATGGTAAATGCTATAAATGAAGAGTAACATGAAGTGGGACCATTAGATAGAAGACATTACATGCCAGCAGTAATACATGAGAAGTAAGGAAATATAATAAAAAAAAATGACCTTCCAAAAATTTTAGTGAAATACTCCTATACAAATAGAACTTAGTTATTTTTTAATGAGGACAATGTAGTGTCTTATAGTCCTCCTTCCACCATTTTTAACCCTTCAATTGTTTCCAACAGTATTCCTTCTGGTCAGCTGAAAACCCCTACTGATTCTGTCTTCAATTGTGGATCTCAGCTTACTTACCAAGACAAGGACCTCAATAATTGAAGAATTATTCACTTACGGTTTGCACAAGCACATGGATAATAAGAGCAAAACCAAAAGAAATTTTTATAAAAGCAGGAAATTCAGTAAAGTAAAAAAAAAAACATGATTCAAAAGTAATCTCATTATTGGAAACTATACAAAATAAAAATTTCAAACTATTTAAAATTATCTACTTTGAATCTTCTGTTTACTCTCATATTGAACACATCTTTGTTTTCAAAGTAAACAGAATAAGTTTACGAGAAAGTGAAAGGAAAGCTATGAAAGGAAAGCAGGAGACTCTCTATTTGGAGAGGTGCCCCAAAGAGGCTCTTCTTGCATCTCTTCCCCATGGTACTTTGTAATGATTGCTTGATGAGCTCATTGAGTAACACATAAAAAATTCCAAGGGCTGTGAAGGTGGCTCAGTGGTAGAGTGCTTGCCTTGCATGCCTAAGGCCCTGGGTTCGATTCCTCAGCACCACATAAGCAGAAAAAGCTGGAAGTGGCACTGTGGCTCAAGTGGTAGAGTGCTAGCCTTGAGCTAAAGAGCTGAGGGACAGCGCCCAGGCTCAGAGTTCAGGTCCCACGACCAGCAAAAAAAAAAAAAAAAATTCCAAACACATAATGAAAAAAACATATGCAGCAGAAAAACACAAACATCATACCTTGCTTTTCCTCCTAATTTACTCAATATGAACAGTCATCAAACTCACTATATATATATCTTCCTTGTTCTCTGTTAATGCTGAATAAAGATCATTTTAAATAAGAAAATTAAA